CGCCTCCCCGGAGAGCGCTCCGGCTGTGGGCTGGCAGCCTCCGGGGAGGCAAAGCTGCTGCCCCGCCGGAGCATTTGCAGGGTCCTACCCCTGGAAGCCTCCATGTTGTCCCCTATTTCCAGCCGTACCTCCTCCCCCGAATCAGGGAATGATCTTCCCCAAGTGCCGTGACCCACTTTGCCTTAGATCTTGGGTGCCACGCAGATTCTTCTCCAGAAGATGCCTCTGGAGGGATGGAGGCACCCTATGCCCCTCTCCCAAGTTTTTATCCCCAGGGGGTTGGTATTTTGCAGGTTGAAAAGCATTTCTGTGGATAGGCTACGAGTAGATAGGTGTGTACTTCTTGAATAGCACCATAGGCCTTTTTTGACATTATAGAAGAGACTTCTTAGTGTTTTAAAAGTAAACAAAACTTTTGTGTGGTGCACATGCGTGATTTCACTTACGGACGCTTTCTCTAGATTCCCTCCTTGTGCTGAAGTAGTGTTAATTTTATTGCCTGTACATGAATTGAATTCACTGATTGGTGGCTAATCATGCTTAGGAAAAAAAAAAAAAAATGCCCTGTAAATAGCTATCAGAATTAATTTGGCAGCAACTGTGAGAAATGATCACAAATTTACAAATGCAGTTGGAGTAATGATTCAGCGTGGATTTAGCAAGAAATATCCCCTCCAACCTCTGGGAAGCAGTGTGTAGGTTCCTATGACAGTCAAATGCACTTGGTCATACTGGTACTGAGCTTAGAGGCTGGGAGTTGTCCGAGAAGGATGCAGAGGGTTAAGGCTCCTGGGTTTGAGCTGGGAAGAGGCAAAGAAGTGAAGGAGCTGGGCTGAGTGAAAACATGAATATTAAGAGAGACCCCTTAATGTGTTTTAGTCATGTGCTGCTTGAGGTTGCGTGGGGGTGAATCCAAAAGATGTGGCAGTGTCTTCACCTACCAGGAGCCCACCTGGAGCTGGGGTTACTGGCACTTCTGGACATCAAGTGATAAAAGCCTCCTTTTGCACAGGGACGCCAACAACTTAAGGGAGTGCTGGAAAAAATATCATCTCGTAACTCTTCTCCGGGGGTGTGTTAATGAGGTTTACCTCTGCCACAAGGGTGTGATCTTGAAAAGCCTTAGGCACAGTGAGCGGTTTTGCACCGAAGATGTGGGGCCAAATATAATGGGAAGTATGTTCCCCAGGCGTCACTGGAGGAAGGCCCAACTAGCTAAGAATAAACAAGACCTCACCTTTTTTCTCTATCGGTATGGGAAAGACTGAAACATGCCGTGGAGAAAAGTGAGTAGGCAAGTACACGGGGAGCCCCTGAAGGTGGCTGCAGAGTGTTCCTGGATGCGCGCAGCAGCCTGTGCTGGCTGGGCTGCCTCGCACCACTGTTCCACTGTCCCCAGCAGCCAGTATTTCTGACAGCGATTCTAGTGGCTACTCGTAAGAGTGGGACAGAAAAGTGAGATATCTTAGTAAATAGTCCTGTAAGAAGGAAAAACACTCTAGCAGGTAAACATTTTTTCCTAATGTCAGTATTACTGAACTTGTATTTTTCTCCTTTTTTTGTGTGGTGTTATTTAATTAGGAACCTTTGACTTCATGATGGGAGGAAACATCCCCCTGGCTATTACGACCCGAGCTTCTCCTAGTGTGAGGATTTGTCAAGCCTGAGAGACTCCGGATTATCCATAAACCTCCTCTAAAATACACATCTGCTTTTCTGTCTCCCCATCGTGAGGGATCTTGGAGCAGATACAAAGATGGCCTCCAGCCTCACCTGTGCCGGCATCGTCTGGGCCTTCCTCTCCTTTCTCTGCGCTGCTGCCTCCTGTGTGGGCTTCTTCATGCCCTACTGGCTCTTGGGGTCTCAGCTGGAGAAGTCGGTTTCCTTCGGCACTTTCCGGAGGTGTTCCTACCCGGTGCGGGACGAGAGCCGCCAGACAACCGTGATGGTGGAGCAGTGTGGCCGCTACGCCTCCTTCCAGGCTATCCCAAGCGCTGAGTGGAGGATCTGCACGGTGGTGACGGGCCTGGGCTGCGGGCTACTCCTCTTGGTGGCCCTGACGGCGCTCATGGGCTGCTGCGTGTCCGAGCTCATCTCCAGGACCGTGGGCAGGGTGGCAGGAGGCATCCAGTTCCTGGGGGGTAAGTGCTCGTGCAGGGAGGGGATGGGAGTGTCCAGGCTGTCAGTTTACGTGTGGGGAGATGCCCTGGTGCTTTGGGACGAGGAGGGAGTGAGTCAAACTTTCTGCTGGTGAGAGAGACCACTTGGCTCCCGCCATGGTTGAGCTGGTTGTCTGGATGCGGCCCAAAGACTGTGGGCACTCTCTTGTGCTTCAGTCCCTGCCTGGTCATTGTGCAGCCTTTGAGAGTTGCATGGAAAGTTGACCTCTGTGGGCCAGCATCTTCGCAATGGTTTTGTGGGCTGTAGTTTCCAGCAGAGCTCAGGGGTGGAGATACCTGGAGAAGCGTGAGGGCTGCAGAACCTCATAGAGCATTGCAGTTTTGCAGAGCAGAGGCTGTGTTAATGTGGGAACAACCTCTCTTCTTTCTCCTTCCTACCCCCATCACTGGCACAGTTGCCTCCACCTCTGTCTCTGCATCTGCGTGGATCTGGCAACAAGTCTGTGGCCCAGGTTTGAAGTGGGGATTGTTTATCTCTGGGTGGAGGTGGCCCACCATCTCCCAGGAGGAGACCCACTGGGCTGTCTGACCCACGCTGCTTGCTGATGGTGCTGCAGCTTTGTTGAGTCCATGGGCTAGACAGCATGTGGGAGAATTACCTCCCTCCCTTTTTTTTAGCTTGTAATTGTATGGAGTATTTGAAGGGTATGAGACAATAAACAGGATCCTCAAGCGTGTTTTTTATAGGGCAGTTTTCCCAGTAAATCATCACTCTCTTGTCATCAGTGACATGCAGCTCAGTGACACTCACTTTTGCCTGGTGCAAGCACTCCAACGCCCACAGGTGCTTGCCCCTGTGAGGGGGCGTGTTTCTCCGAGCTTTGGGTGCCGGGGCAGCGCAGGCTGGGTGCCTTTGGTGCCCCACAGTGTCTGGTCCCAGCCAGGCTCCCTGGCTTGTGCCCTGGAGGAGCAGACTGAAGCGGGACCTTTTCCCTCCCAAACAGAAATTTGCCCTGCAAAGGCAGTCCAGATACATCCCGAGTCTGCAGCCCTAAGGAGGCACAAGACAAAAACTCCGTTACTGTCCAGCTCGGGGCAGATAACTAAGGCAAGGAAAGGGCCCTGTGCCAAGCCTCTGGCCAGGCGATGCCAGTGTAGCTCTCTCCTGGCTGTGGGGAGCCCTGCCTCCAAGTTTTTTAGTAGTTTCTGCGTTCTAGAGCAAGCCGACCCTGTCACTTCGCCCTTCTGTCAGCTTTGCAACCCACAGACATTCCTGTGTTTAATCTGGCTGACAATTTGAAAGTGCAGCAGCTGCTGGAGAGTTAACTCTGCTGGGAGCTGCCGCTTCTTGAAGCCTGCTCCATGATACAGTTGCAGCTGGGCAGCCGGGGGATGAAGGGTATTTTCGGTTCGGTGACACTCTGCAAGTCCGCTCAGTCTGGCTATTTTCACTTAGAGCCATCACAGGCTTGTGCTTTAACCACCCCCCTCTTTCCAACTGCTGGCTTGGCTTGTCTGGTTTTAATTTGCATTTGGCCCCTTTCTCCTGGTCGTTGCTCCCCTGCCTGCCTGCGGAGTGGGGCTGGCCGTGCCTCTGTCTGCTTACGGCCACCCCAGCAAACACAGCAGCTCCAGCAGTGGGCAGCCGGCTGGGGGACGAGGGAGGAACCCCTCTCCCTCATGACACTGGTTGGGGCTGAAGGTGTGCAGCCTTCTACGAGGTGGGATGGTGGCTCCTGTGCAGGGAGGTGAGAGGTCCCTTGAGACCACACCATGGCCACCCCTGGAGCTTGTCCTGGCTGACCTGGCAGCATCCCATCCCACCTGGAAGGGCATGAGCAGGTAGTGCGTGTCCTTGGTAGGTGACAATTCAAAGAAATGTGAACTTGTCATATGAAACAAAAATTGCCAACAACTTCACTTACAGTTCAGAAATCAGTTACACAGCATGTCTAATTTTCCCCTCTACTGGCTTTTATGGTTGTCTCTCATTTCACTCAGCACTGCTGGAAGTGTGTAAGAAATTAGCAAAGTGAGAACCCGTAATTTCTTAAGCTATGTAAAACCCAACTGTGGGGACACGAGGCAGAGGCCAGGTGGTGAAAGCCAATAATTTGGATGAACCGAAGGGACATATTAGGGTAGAGATCAGATCCTTACATTCCTAATGAGGTCCTTAGCTGCTGTAAATCAGTATAGCTTCATTGTTTGAATGACATGACTACGTTTATTCAGATGTCTAACTTAGGCATTGTAATTATTAAGTTGTTTTATGTCAAGATAGCCACGAGCTGTTCACTTTATTTACTAACTGGGAATGCCAGCTTTTTGTTCCCTGTGTCACAGATGGAGGTTTAGTTATATACCATGATGTGTGTTTTGAATATGGCTCAGTGGCAGTACAGTAATTGTCATTTTAATCAGCCTCCACTTGGAGATCTAACCAAATAAAACTCTCGTAAATATTTTTTTTTGATTGGGGAAAAGAACTTCCTCCTATCTTCATATGAAGAAAAGGCCTGGGGAAATAAGCAGCTGGCTGAGTGATGCTATTTATTTATCCTCTGTGTTGGGGCAAGGAGATGGCTAGGCAGTTTCACTTTCTGTTTCTTTTTGTCTGAGTCACCTGCACCAACACTCTGCTGTGGCTCCTGCTCCAGTGGCGGAGGATGAGTGTTGGAATAAACCGTGTTTCTCTTGAAGTTAGAAACCAGCATAAAGGCATGCTCAGTGTAGCTAGTTTATGGCTTTAGTGGTGTTCCATTAGTCTAGGATCCAAGTAATTTTCTCAACATGATTTAAAAACATAGACTTGATGAGGAACTAAGCCAATTGACAAGAGTATTTTATAAGAGGCCCAAGAGTGGGTGAGATGTACAAGCTCCTGAAGCTTTGGTGAGCCAAAGCACTAAGGTTGCTAAAACTTACTCCAACACTGGAAGCATTTTTACTGTTGTGAAGAGGTGGCAGAGAGGTTTGCTTACCAGAGGTGGTAAGCAAACATCTTGATCCTCTTCTTCTAGCAGTGTGAAGGAGGAGTAACTCCAAGTAGGTCAGTGGAATAACACCTGTATAAAACTAGTGCAGTTTGCACTAGCTAAACAGTGCCAAGATTTTACCGCTGGGATTTCCCCAAATTGTATGTGGCAACTCACAGGAGTGAATTATTCATGAATGCTTACACCATAAATCTGCTCTTCTCATAAAAATTGAGTGGCAGAACCTGCAAGAAACTGCAGATCCACACAGAGTCAGAAGGGCTTTTTAGATATTGGTTGATCTTATGTACTTAGTCTATATTTGCTGTTTCAGATGATCCTGGCTACGGAGCATACATGTATTTTAAGATGTCTCTGGGATGCTACACACTGAGTTTCTGTTCATAGTAGGAAGATTGCATCATAGTCTTTTCCTCCTATTTGCAATTATGGGAACCGCTTCCTTTCCCATGCATGATCATGTGGCAGCTCCATAACCATTACAGCAATTGCTTACATGAAAAACAATGCTATTTTTAGCTTTTTCTAAGGCTATTCAGTAGTGGGTGACAAGAAGTAGCCAACACCCCAAGGCCAGCCATTTCTGCAGTGGCTGTCAGTGGTCTGCAGTCCATGGCTGGCAAACTGCTGCTGCAGTGTCTCAGGCCATGCTTCATGGACGTATCTGTTGGATTGCTTCAAAGAACTGACAACTGAGGTGAAAGTTATGCTGTCTGTAGCCTCTTGAGGGCACAGTTATGTAGATGGATACAGTCTTCACTGATAACAGTAAGTGCAGTGTTTCCAGATGCTTTTCTTTGAGTGCTTGGAAGACTGAGGCATATATAATGTAGCTGGAACAGATTGCGAGGATGTATCTTTGACCATAACTATTGAGGGCATGACAGCAGGAAGTAAAGTTTAACAAATCTGTGGCAAATTGGAGTCTGTAATTATTGATCTTCTTTTCATTGTGCCGTGGCAAGTCAATTCCTCTTAAATGGGGAGACTAGAAATTTGCAGGTAGGTAGCTCAGATATGACATACTAATTTGGTGAATAGTTTCACTCTCTGAATGCAGAGCAATGATTTTAAGAACATAGCAATAATTTTAAGAACATAATGAACTTAAAGGTTAGCCGGTTTTATGAGAGGCAGTGGATCAAAAGACACAAGTATTGCAAGGATGGTCAATTTAAAGAGCGTTATGCTGGCAAGGTGAAGCTTTTCATTAAAATGGTCAGCACGCAGGAATTATAGATGAAATTTGCACTAGCTCAGAACTCCCTTTGGCTGTGTAGGACAGCTAAGCCAAGCTCAGAGGGGTATGAATCTAAGGAAACAGAGCATGAAACAATCTGCTGACTTAGACACCTCTCTGAACCTGACACTGTGGCCCTGATTCTGAGTGACATGTGAGAAGTGAGCCCTCTCCATGATTACGGGGTAGCCATGTGGTTTGTACTGTCATCGATAGTACTGGTTGCTCATTGATTGTACTCAAGTAAAGCACAAGTTTTGCTACTCCTTTCAGTAATTAGCAAAGTTTTCAGCAGCACCTTCTCTTCCTCTCCTCATTTCTCTGTCTTGTTTCCCTTGTGTCTCCTGGGAGTGCTGAAACTCCTGAAACTATGTTTCTTGAACCACTGGTTAGAAAATCTGGAGGGCTCTTGAAGTAGGGAGTGGTGAATGGAGTGTTTGGAGTTATCTAAGAAAAAGGGACGCAGATCCTAACAACTTCTGATTTTGTCTCAGAAAAAAGATGTGGTCTTCTGGAAAAAGGTCTCAGCACCGCATGAAATTGCTACACAATCCTTCTCCAAGTGTCCTATGCCAATAGTGGCCATATTAGTTTCCATCAACCATAATAGGGTGCTCAGGGCAAGTGTTTGCTGGGTGCAGAGGCAGAAGAATAAAGACTGCTCCATCAAGATGAGGAGAATGTTGAGTGCCGGGTGATGGCTCTGTATTGTCTATGATGAAATCTTAGAGAAATCCTCTGAGATTTTGGGCTGGAGATTTTAAAGAGACAGATCCAAAGGA